TCTCTTCCTTAACACATGCAGGATTGTGGGGGTTATGGGGATTATAATTCAAGATAAGATGTGGGCAGAGACACAGAGCCCAGTCGTATCAACTGGCTTTTCCTGTTCAAAAATAAAGACCTACAACTTTTCCAGTTCTCCCTGGCTTGCATGCTAGTACATTTGGTAGGCTTAATAACTGGTTGAATGGCCATTACCAGACAAACATTTCTACTTACAGTAAAGCGAGTCCTGTCTTAATAAATCTTTTTTTCTTTTCCTTATGAGTGATAAGAAGCTAAAAACAATAACAAACATGTTGAATGTCAAATTATGGTTATGAAAGATCTTATCAGGTCAAAACAATTGACCGATCTAACAAGATTAATAAAGATGTATGTAAGATGCTTCCCTTGCCCCACCCTCCAAAAAAATCAAACCAACTAATAAGAGTACAAAGGTAGATTAAAATATGGTTTAGCTTTAGTTTATATAAAAAAGAGTCAAGGGCTTTGGTCAGCGGTGAACTCAATTACACACAGCAGTGCATAGCAGCTTCCAAGAAAGCTCTGTCCTATTACTTTGCCTATATGACTCTATACTTGTCCTGTTACTCTAGCCTGTATTACCAGAACTGTGTCACCTAGCCTGAGGGAGGAAATGATACTCCTTCAGTCTTCATCAGTTTACAGTGTGTTGTGCAGCACTTTATTTTGAGGCACCTCAATGTAGAAGATTTCAGGGGAGCAAGATCTATAAACACTATCAACTGAGGAATAAGTGTCTGTAGAATTAGAGATGTTTCATCGAATCTAATGATTAAAGATTCAGGAAGCCAGGATAACTCTTCAGATCTTAATAGTTCTATATGGCCTCAAGCATCCAAAACTTGCAAGCAGGAAGCTCAGAAAGATAAGTTTTTGCCACAATCTCTAGTAGTTAGGAATGTCTCAATCTAGATTGGGTTAACTCAGAAGACTGTGAGGGCTTTGACGTGAGAGAACTTTAAGCAAAGGTCGATGGCTGCTGACAGAGGGCCTAAGCTACAAATGGGAAGTTAATTAGATGACCCTGAATTCACTATAATTCTGCCAACTCTTCCGTGAATTTTTCAGGCAGTCTTAGCCTTAGTTGAAAATCTGCAGTGGGCCAAGATGGTCATTTGAAGCCCTCAACCTACCCGCAGTATGATCTTCCTTATGTGCCATAGCTAAGCACTTCTCCTCCCTCAGATACTCACCATCATCTGTATCACTGACCCTCCACAGATATGCTCTAATGAGACATTCGTATACTAAATGAAATGTAAATGTTTGTCTTTTAAGCTTTGTCTCTGGACTTCTAAGGCTCTGCTTCATTTTCTCTAGGCACCGTTTTCACTCTAGCCCTTGGCATGGCAACTAATGCCTGCAATTGCCTCAGAGCACTTCTGTTCAGCTCCACCAGGAATCTCTTGATTTCTGCCTCTTAGTACTTCTCACCACTGCCTCCACCACTGCCTCCCTAATGCCTGCTGAAACTTGTTCAGCTATTTTAATCTCTGGAAACCTGGAAGTAAGATGCAGTTAATATAGCATAAAGCATTCACCAATGGGAAACAGAATTTGCTTGATAAGTATTCTCCCTTTGCATCCCTGGAGTGAATAACTCTCAGGTGCATTATCATTGGCTTCTTAGATGTTTCCATGTGGCTCAAGTTTCAGCTGTCTACAGCAGTAAAAAAAACTTTAATAACACACCCTTGGATTATTTTTCCTCTCTTCCCTGTCCTCTACTTTCAGTCTTTGTGATCGTTTTCTAAAATAAATTATATGCAAGTTGTTGTGTTAGATTTGACCTACTGAGGAAACGTAGGTCTAAACAATTTATACTTCTGAGAGACATTACCCATTTAAGAATTTCAGAAATTAGTGAACAGATGTAAAAATTTTCACTGCAAATTTAGTGCTTATCTCTTTATAAGGCCAATTCAACCACATAAACAACATTTATGGATGCAGTATTAGTAAGAAGTCAGTGTTGACTTCTCTCCTTAGCTATGTTCTGTCATAGGCTATAACCAAATGATAGAAATGCAATTGTGAGCAATGGAACAATTTTTCTTGGCAGAATCTAAAAGCACATGACACAATCTCCCTTGGAAATACTTGTAGCACAGGAAGGAAAGTTTATGAAAGAGCCAAGAAATAAAGCTGATTTGAAGTTGAAAAGAAGCATCTCTTCAGGAAATCACATACTCCTTGAATTTTCAAATGCAAAAAAAAAAAAAAAAAAAAAAAGAAAGAAAAAAAACTATTTGCTTTTCTTAAAAACTTCACATTATAAACCTTGAGTAATTTATGCAATTATAATATTCTGCATCCAAAATGAGATTTCACAGCCCTTCATCCAAGAGAAACAAGCCCTGGAATAATTTTACTCTGAAGTCCCTAAATAACATAAAATGCAGTTCACAGAATCACATTACTACTGGGAGAATCAATAATTTTTTTTTTCAATAAATGAGTTTAACAAAAAGGATTTAATTTAATCTCCAAGTTTATAAGGGTAATGCTTGTTTTCTGCAACTATTAGCATACTCATTTCAGGTTAACTGCATGAATAATATCATCTAAGCTGTTTCTAATGATTGATCTATGTAATAAAAAACAAATTCCTGTATACTCCAATCCTTGGAAGAAATTAAAGATCTTTGCCAGCATTTGTCAAAGTCCCACAGTATGTACCATGAAATGCTCAGAGCAGTCAGCTCTGGATTCTCATGAGAGCACACAGTTTGTACAAAACTCCAGCTGTCTGTAGTAGAGAAAGATATGGACAACAGGATTTTTCATTGTAACATTCTTACCTCACCATTCTCTTCCTGCAGATCGTCTCATCACCCAGTGCTCTCAGGCTCTCTGGGTTGCTCTGGTCTTTTAATTTAACTTCTTATTGACTCCTCCTCTGCCTTCTGCTTCTTTCTCACCTGGCCTTCTAACAGCACTCACCTGTGCTGCATATTGTCCCTTACCAAGTGCTTTCGTGTGAGAGGATCATCTGTTCAAAGGCACCAATTTCCTCCTTCCAACACACTTGCTAAAGAGAAATTAAGGAGAATGTCCATGATCCCCAAATCAACATTTCTGAAAAATACACTGTTCTTTGGCAAAAAAACAAAGTGTCGGAATTTCTGTGACGTCTTCTGTTTAGAACTGTTCTGGCTGAGTCTGTGGTATATCAACTGTAAAATGCACCTACATTTTTTTCCAGGTCTACTTCCTGTTTAAGAAGCTGTAAGAGTGCATGCAGCCCCCAGGGAAACCGCAAAGCATGAGGTTATAGATAGGAGAGCTGACAACTTCTATCATTTACTTCCTGACATCACAGCCTGTGGCTTTAGAAGAAAAGTGACTGCAATTTTCAAACATGCACACATACACGCTCTCTCTTTCTTTTTTCTTCTGCTAAACATTAACCAAATCAAATACTCTCAGAGCAGAAATAAGAAAGCAAGCGCCAGGTCTCAAATATTGGGAAGACAAACTTATTTAACTTATTTGGCTTGAATAACTGTCCCATATTAGCAAGAGCAAATAATCATTTCTCCTTCTGAAAATATAAAGTCTTGATATTTTGGGACTGTATTGTGTTTCTGTTTCCTTTAAGAGAAATTTCCTGCTCATAGGGATGGTCAGTGGCTTGGCAATCTCCAACTCACTTCATTATTATAAAAAGGTAGAATCTGATTTTATATTTTATGATAAATCTTTCAGAAAACCACTACTTGTTTTTCATTCATCATGGAATCAAAAGATATGAGGTACAGAAGAGAATCTCAGACTTATTACCTCTGTATGTTACAGCTGGAAAGACAGATAACCAGAAAAATTACGTGACTTGCCTGAGCTCATGTTGCTAGATGTGAACCCACAAGAAAACACATTTTGTACAGATCTCTGTGAATCTGATGTCATCTCTAGGAAAACAGACTGCCTTTCTTCTCAGTAAGAGATCATTGCAGAAGCACAGCGTACATTTTAACAACTGTCTATCCATCAGTGAAAGTCCCTGGCATTTGCACGCTTTCCTGCGTCAACCTTATCTTTAAATCATGTTTATGCCTGTATAATATGTCTTCTTTAGGTATTTTATTGGGACGTTGGAAGAGTAAGAATTGGTATTTAGATTTTGAGGTGTCTTCTATGGCCCCATACATTTCTTCCTAAAGATTTGAAGTAACTGTATGTGCTGGGAGCACTACACCAGGATGTAGGGACAGAGAGCTGATTAAATCATCACATAAAGTGCTATGGGCTAGTGGGGATTATCTACATGTAGTTAAATAATTTTAATTCAACGGGACAAGTACTTTAATAAAGATATACTTATTGATGCCATGGGAATCACAGTTCTCTGCTTAGTGGGACTTCTCCATCTTTCTCATTCTGAGGAGTTGTCATTGTGATTTAAACTAATTCAAAGTTACTAAACAAAAGCCAGTCAGATTAAATTTTAAGGACATAGGTTTATTTATTTTTTTTTTTTTTAAGGCTAGAGGACTTACAATGGTCAACCAGATAATCTTTTAAAAAGTCCTTCAAGATGGATTAATAAAAATTTTGCTTTTGTGAGTCTGGGGCCTAGGCAGTATTCCTGCCCTGTAACTAATGTAATATTAAATTACCAAATTTATTTCCCTTCTTTTTGTTTAAATTGTCACACATATACATGAACAAATGCAGATCACAGAAAAATATTAAAAATGATTAAAGACTGAAAAATAATAGGACTAAAATAGTGTCCCAACTCACTTTCAATAAAATACTAAACAAAATACAAGTCAATGAAATTCAGGTAAATTTAAATGATCACTACCTCCATCAAGATAATTTTAATCATGCAAAGTACTTTGCTATTAGAATATCTCAATACATAAAATGTGATACAAATGGGTCTAATACGAAAACATACAAAAATCTCAAAAGATGCTGCAAAACCATCTGATAACTTTCAACATGAATTTCTTTTTTTTTTTCTCATGTCAGATGAGTAATGTACAGATGTCATAACAAGATTTGAGGGAGGTGTATCTCACACCTAAGGATAAAAACCTAATCATCGTGTTTATGAATCACAAAAGAATCCCAACATAAATTTTTTGAGGAGAAAACATGTTAGAAAACTGGGAATAAATATGTAATTCTTCAACATGATCTCTAAAAACATTTATCTTAGTGGTTACACATTAGAGGCATGTCTATCAAAATCAGAAACATGAAAATTACACACATTATTGCTATTACAATGTTATGGTAATAATTTTCTAGAAGTTATGGCTGATTCAGTAAAACATGAAACAAAAACAGAAGTCTAAGTGCTTTCCCATTGTAGCACTCACTACATTTGTAATTAAATAATGATTATATGGTCACTTGTCATCACCCTTGCAAAAACATATGAACGAGAACTTGGTCTGTATTATTTATTAAGGAATCACAATGCCCAGAAAAATACCTGTTACAAGAAAATATGAAATAGATATTTATTAGATGAACAAAGCAGAACTTCAGGGTATGGCTTAGTAAGGAGGTTAGTAAATCCTCTCCCCAAAAGCAACTGTGAAGGTAAACAAAAATGACATAACAACGATGTCTGTGCTCTTGGAATCTACCAAAACTATAGCCAATTGGAGAAGCATTTATTCTTAAAAACCTGTGGAACTGTGAAAGTTAGTAGGAGCTTAGGGCATTCTTTACTGGGACAACACCAAAGCTCCTGCCAGTCTGATTGACATGGATGTTTTGTGAGTGGGACAGGCTATGACAACTAGTAGGTTTGCTACCATGGTCATACTGGGTACACTTAATTTGGAGAGCTGCACCATGCCCATGCAGCAATGTCAGTAAAAGTGAGTCTCGGCAGAGGGCCAGTAGAATGGACCAATGATTCTTCTAATCTGAGGTTTTTGATGGGATAAACATAAGATTGGCTAAGGCTATACACATCCACGACAGAAACCAAGATGGCCCGACACCTCTACATACTACAGTGGCCAACACTGAGGTTGCACACACCACTCTACAGTGGCCAACATGGAGATTGCACACATTCAGAAGACATTCAAAAAAGCCTGGTGGAAATAAAAGTCTGGAGAAAAAATGAAAACAAACTGAAGCTTGTATGTGGTACTCTTCCCACACATAAATCCATCAACAGAGAACAGAAACCTTACTGGATGAAGGGTTTTGAGTATAGCCTCTGCCCAATCATTGGCTGACCACTATGCTACACAGAAAGAAAGTGATCCCTCTTAAGGCCAATATAAAAATGACAATAACTTAAAAAAAAAAAAAAAACAAAAAAAAAAAACAGGAACAGCAACAAGCAGCCATTGGGAGGACCAGTTTTACAGATTTGGCCCACACAAGCTATTCAACAAACCAACAAAACAATAAAAGCAAATGTCAGAAAAGAAAACCATGACCCAGAGTTGCTATATTATCAAAGTCTAATTTTCAATAAACAATGTTTTGGGATATTTAAAGAAATAAGACTCATATTCAAGGGAGGAAGCAAAAAAGCAGTCAGTAGAAACTGAATCTGAGGGTTAATCCTCTGCCTTTTCCAGCTTTTCTCAGTCTGACTTTGGCAAACCAGCCTTCCTTGGTTGGTAGAGTTAAGACAGTGTAGGAGAGAGAGGCAGAGATGAAAGAAGCAGGTTTCCATTCTTTTCTGCTTTGGGCCATGTCTCTGACCATGTCTGCTATAAGGTTTCAGGCTCACTGGAAAGCCCTAGCTGCTAATAGCAGATTTTTCTTTTGTCCTTCTGGCCCTGGAGATAGAAGGGCTGCCTGATGTTGTTACCCATGGGTTTCCCACCAACTCATTTGCTCCTTATCTCGTCTAACTCCTTTGTAGCAATCTTCCGTCATATTCAATTCCTTCTCAATAGTAAACCAATCACCCATTGATAGATATTTGTGTCATTTCCAGTCTTTTCCTATCTAAAAAATGCTTAAAGAATAGCCACGTGCATGCACACTTTTATATTTTTTTTTTGCAAGAGTCTATTTGGGATGGATTCTTAGAATTGAGATTGTTGATTCAAAGAGTGAATGCGTATGTCTAAGCAGCTTAAAGAGGCATTGTTGTCATCTTTCAAGCCAAAAATACCTTCTTTAAATATGGTTTTCTTAAAAAGAAAGTAATTAAGAGAGAGCTTTTGAAATCCCAAGACAAGTGAATCTCTTTGGGAAAAAAATTTAGTATTTGCTTATATACCTTATTTGCATATAAGGTATAGTATATAGACAAAACCCTTTGAAAGCACTCAAGGAACCTCCCAAAATGTTTTATTTCCCACTAAATTTCTCCCAAGCCAACTCTTACTTCTGAGCAGAGATGTGCAGAACATCCATTTGATCTCTGGAATTCAATCCCCACCCACCAGGATAAGTGAGACAGAAAGCCAGAGGACAAGAGAGGGCAGGCTTGCCTCCTGATTTGCCCAGACCAGTGCAGCAACTCTGGTGTGACTGCCACATAGGATAAGAGAGGCAGATAGTGGGTTATTCTGGATGCAGGCAGGGAATAAAAAAAAGTTATTCCCACAGTACTAATTACTAATTCCTTTAGAAATGTTATCCCTAGAAAACCTGGCCTGTGAAATGTCTTCAAACCTGACTGTCCAGAAGAAATAACTTTCCATGCAGGTGGAGTGAAGAGAGGAGGAAGAAGCTTGCTCTTGATTCATCTTTAGTTAGAAGTGAGGAACGTGCATGGGGAGAGATGGAAAGGCCATTTTTTGAAAGAAGCAGCCATGTGGGGCATTGCATATGCCTGGCACTATATAATTAGGGATATAGCATCTCTTGATGCATACTGTATAATCTGTTGCCTTGGCTAATCAGAGTCTCTGAACCCCATTTAAGATGGAAAGTGGAATACTGAGTGAATTCTTATGTCAGAAGTTGAGTAAAGATAAGTCACGCCCTCTGATCCATTTAAAAATACTTAGCAGATGATTCCAAAGACTGAGCTATGGAAGTCCTTAACTTACTTACCCCAGGGGGATATGCAAAAATAGAGACAAGAATTAAGGAAGTAGCTCTACAAGCCAGCAGAATTGCCCTGATTCTCCAGAGACGTTTCTGCACAGAGCATGGCCACAACCCTGGGGACTGTAATCTTCCCTGTATCCCAATTGGGGTTAAAAAGAGAACAAAAACTGGGGGCAGGGGAAAGAGATTTTGGTTACTAGGGTTATGGCACAGAAGCAATACTAAAACCTTCTTCTGTCCATCCCCTTTTACTCCACCCTAAGGATGAGTCCTAAATAAAAGTTTAATCCAGAGGCATTTGGGATCATAATTCTAGTGAAGGAAGCTTTCAAGGGGGAAAGCGTCTCTGTATGAACATATCTGCTTTATTCAGTTCTTCTGTGGCACACTGTTACTTTCTTAACACTGTAGAATTCTAGTTATTTTCTTTCAGCACTTAAAGATGTCACTCCATTATCTTCATTATCTTTTCTTTGCCTTGGCAGCTCACCAATGCCTTCAAACAGATGCTTTTTGTATTTTATCTGGCTTTTCTTGTTTTCTTGGCAGGAGCATTGCTCTATAGGAAGCTACTCCATCAGAATTGCAAGTCAAAGCCTCCACTCTCAATTATTGAAAGCGTATACATGTTAATATCTAGTATTATAAATCCCTGTTCCAGTTTTATTTTTCAAATTTATAAACTATTATTGCCTATTTACCCACATGAACTTCAGAATCTCAGTATTGTACACTTCCCCATTACTAATTTTACCAAATGTGTAAACCTATTTGGAGACAACTTTTATAATATTGAGTAGTCTGTATCCAGAAGCATGGTATCTATTTTTATTAAATTGTCTGTTTTTCTTTGGGAGCTTTATTTCAGTTGGTCCTGAATATTTCAAATTCAGTTTAATCCTGCATATTTCAATGGTTTATGTCAGTGGACTCTTTTTACCATTTTATGTTCTGCATCGTTGAACATATGCAAAATCTTTAATGTTGTATATGCCATTTTAAACTCATTATCTTAGTAAATTTTTATTAGTACATTTTCTTTCATTTTTCTAGGCAAAGAGCACAGGGAAATAATAACTTTGTTGTGTCATTTTCAATAGTTATCCAAATTAATTACTTCCATGGCTTGTTTTCTTCTATAACTTTCAGAACAGTGTTAAACCATGGTGGTCACAGTGGTTGTCCTCCTTCTACTCTTTAATGGGAATCCTCTAGGATTCTATGATAGTATGTGCATGTTTTTCATGTTAAATAAATAAAATTACCATCCTATTTCTAAAAATATTCTGTCCAGAACTAATATTAAATTACACATGCTTCTTGAATAAGGCTGGGGTTAGGAATGCTGTTCCCCCATGCAGTCTCAAAATCACACATAACTTTTGACTCCCCTAAAACTTAACTACTAATAGCCTACTGTTGACTGTAAGCCTTACCAATAACATAGTCAATTAGAACATATTTTGTATGTTATATTTACTATATATTGTATTCTTGCAATAAAGTAAGCTAAAGAAAATAAAATGTTATTAAGAAAATTATAAGGAAGAGAGAATGTATTTACTATTCATTAAGGGGAAATGGATCATTATAAACATCTTCATTCTCATCAACTTTACATTGGGTAGGTTGAGGAGAAGGAAGAAGAGGTGTTGGTCTTGCTCAAGAGTAGCAGGGGTGGAAGAAAATCTATGTATAAGTGAAGTTGTACAGTTCAAACATGTAAATTGGGTAAATTGTATATGGATGAGTTCAAGGGTAACTTGCATATGGATATCTATTTAACATATATTTAAATATGAGTTTTACACAATGAGATGTCACCTCACATCTGTTAGAATGGCTATTATTTACACACACACACACACACAAGATAACAAGTGTTGGTGAGGATGTGGAGGAAAGGAAATCTTTGTACACTGCTGGTGAAAATGAAAATTGTTATAGCTACTAAGTAAAACACTGTGGAGGTTCCTCACAAAATTAAAAATAGAACCACCATATAATCCTGCAATCCCACACTTTGGGTATATATCTAAAGGAGCTGAAGTCAGGATTTCAAAAAAATATCTCCATTCCCATG